ACTATTTAAAAACTCATCGAGAAATCGGGAATTGAATTGAACGATTATAATTAGCTGTTTCTCGGTGCTTCTTAAGCTGCTGACCTGAAAGGGAATGGGTAATTTTATCGTCACGCGACCCGTATCGTTTTTTGAAGAACTCCTTCGATTTGTACTCGTAGATGTAGGACGTGTCGTTGTGGCGAGTGACCCAAAGTCTGTCTGGCATGGCGTCCTGACGTGCCGCGTCGTGCATCCAGCTCCCGTAGTAGTCGTCCATGCTCCCTTTCAGCACGGGCTTCCCTACGGCCTCTATCAAACCCTCTGTGAATATATATATACGAACGTCAGTTATTAACTTCCGAGTCCTCGACTCGGGGAATTGACGTGGAAAGATTTTGTTTTTTAGCCACCAGGTATTACGGGCACTCGTGTTTGACGAGTGCCGCCAGCTCGTTAATTGCGTAAACTTCCGCGATATTGCGATCGTGAACTCTTCAGTTCATTAATGCAGTCCCCTCCCCTTCCCTCCCCTCTTCCTCCTCCGCCCACATATATGCTGCACACTTGACTACTCGTGTGCAACCACTTGTACAAAGATAGATAAATTAAAAGTTGAATCGCGAGGAGATCTCATTTGGCATTATGTCTGTGCTACGCAGTTTAATATTTGTATTTTCTGAAATTAACCGATTAAAACGCACGTTGAACAAATATCTCGTATTAAATATTTTCATTATGAATAAACTTTCGATTTCGGTCTCTCTCGGTGAAGATTAAAATGCGACTGAAAAACGATAAAAAAAAAACGATTTATCGAATTATATAGAAAATATTCCGAAAGAAGAACCTTATTTATTTTGCATTATTATTTTTATTTTTGTCTTGTTGCATTGATTATAATAGTCTAGAAAAATATTTTTTCCTGAAACCTCGAAATAGTGCTTTATATAAATTTTTAAAAGCTAAAAGCAAATTTGGTCAGGTCAGAATTAAAATAACAGATTATAAAATTCGTGAAAAAACACATAAAAAGAATATATAATCGTATATAAAAAGCACGTAACGTAATATTTTATTGCATATAAAATAACAAATTATACCTTATTTATATCTCCGAATAAGAGGATTACGAATAAGATATCGACGAAAAGTGCCTTCGCGTGTCTTTCGCTTTTAAAGTGCTCGTTAATAATTTTTCATTTTTTTATACGGATATAATCAGTTACATTGATATATATATACATATATATATATATATATATATCGTCCATTTCGTATTTGCGTGTACCGAGACTTACGTTGCGTTCGCAACGTTTAAGCTGCAGCTTAGTATTTATCACCTGAAATTAATTGATCTACCTTCTGCCGAAGAACGCCGCCGGAATACATTAGTTAGAATTGATTAAACGTACCGGCTAACCGCTGCGGCAGCCGCGTATTGTTAATATCTTTCAACGGGTGAACGTGAACGTGGTCCGCGTCTGTGTACGTGCACCTTGGACACGTTGCGCAGGTTTCCTGCGGGACGCACAATTCTTGCTCCTGATCGACGCTCACGGGCATGGGACGACCGTACGTAACGTGCTGCTCCTTCCCTAACTTGAGCTTCTCGACGCCCCTCATGTCGTCTAGCGGGTATTTATTATTATCGTCAGTCAGAAAGTAACAAAATACTTCCTTATATTAAACTAAGTTATATTATATTATAAATATATTAAGCTAGGAAGGAACTGTGAATCTTCAGAAAATCTTCAGAGATCCTACGAGATGGGATATAGAAGTGGGAAAAATGCTTTTCATTTTTCATTGAATTTGTATTAATATCCCGTCGTGTCCGTTTCCTTTTATTTTCCGAGATTGAATCAAAAGTGCCAATCATCGGTCAATCTCGTGCCTAGGAACGCTCGCCGTGAGAATACAGAATAATACCGCACGTCTACTTCAATATCGGAGAATTACTCCTATATCCTTCACGTTGTAATTAATTAGCAAATTTCATAATAGCCCATCATAATTCTATTATCTATCGTGAGGATAATACGGGATAAAACAAACCGTCCACTATAAAGGATCCCTTGACAACGTCAAGCTCGTTCTTCGCCACGCAGTGATAAGTCCCGTGATCCGAAGTAGTCACCCTCGTGATTCTCAGCTTCATCTTCAGCTTTTCGAAATATTTTCAAACATCGTAAAATATATCTCTCACTTGTAACATATCAGCGAGCAAGCAAACATAATTTTCCATATGATAAAGATTTGTGCGGTGAAATGTGAATTATTACAGCGGAATGGAAAAAAGCCTTCAAGAAAATCGCGGAGAAAGCGATATGTAACGTCCGCAGATTCGGCGAAAGTCCACGAATACGGATTCGACGAGTTACCTTGTAATTATCGCGTTTGTCGTAAACTTCCGTTCTGTACTTATCCGACATTTTCAGACGGCGACCATCGCTGCGTTCCCAGTGTACCATCGGCTCGGGAAAGGCTTCCACCTCGCATTCCAATGTCGCTGGATTTTGATTTCGCACGAGCACCACTTGGTTGCGTATACGAATGAACGGCGCAACTGGAACGCGGTCGATTATCAATTTTACACACGTTTGTACCTATCGATCCGAGCAAAATTGGTTCTTTCGGAATTAATTCTAATAATATCAAAATTCAGAAAATATTTATGCACTCTTGCGACGCTGCACGCGAAATTTTGTAAAGTTTCTAAAAACGCCCATTGTACCACCAATGTACAATAAAATACGTTAAAAATAATGTAATAAAAGAAAATTTTTAATAACGCAGCATTTTTAAAGAAATATAAAAATATAGAATATCGATAAAATAACAATATCGATAATAGCCTAAAATTTTACATAAAATTGAAAAAAATATGTATATATATATATATTTATATCCCATATATTTTTTAAATTCTCCATATGTTAAATAAAATTATTATCAGTATTGTCCTATTTTTATTTTTTACTCTTAGGTTTGTTTTTTGTTGCTGGACCGCACTAAAATTTTCTTTCTCTTTCACCAAACTTTCAACATATATCCATTTCGTTTTAAATACAACAAGTGTACATTAGTTTAGCGCTATAAAAAGAACTCTATTTTATATAATTCTATATTTTAAAATGCTACCTTAAAAAAATTTATATGTATCGTAAAAAAATAATATGCTTTTTAAAATGTACTTACATCTAACTAGAAGCTTGAACTTCTTAGATTGTTTTGGAGGTATTCCGTTGTCAGCGTTACACATATAATCGCCCATGTGTTCCCGATTCACCACGCTAATGTTGAACGAATGGCCCGTAACAGAGCTCACTAGAGTCGCAAGATTTATAGGAAGGCTTAATCCCACTATCCGCTCGTTATTTATTATTATGAATTAAGGAGTCCGTTTATACCATGCCAGGCGCCCATGGGTATCATGGAACCGTCTATTTTGGTCCACTGTACTTCGGGCTGTGGTTTGCCAGTCGCGATACATTTCAGTCGTATTTTGCTGCCTTCTAGCACGGAAATCACGTCAGTTGTGTTTGACGATGTCTCTGAAACGTTAGTTTTTCATGAAATTATGAGGCCTCTCGTAAAAATACAAATATCAAAGATATTTGCAGTTGCAATTTAATTTGTGGAAAAAAAAATAAAATAAAATAAAAAAAACATCATTTTAATTAAAAGAAATAGATAATAATTTTTACCTAAGATGGATGGCGGTATTAATAAACCATTCTCGTTCTCTCTTGTTCTCGTGTCTCGATCATTATTGTTCACCCTGTATGCCTGTATACCCGGTTTGCCATCTTTTCCCGGCTGTCCCGCTTCACCGGGCGGACCTATTTCTCCTGAAACATGAAAAGGTTGATTCGTGAAACAAACGATATAAAGAAATCATGGTGGTTATATACGATGACCAATGATTATTGCCTACCCCGAGGTCCTGGTGGTCCTTGAGGTCCCATTTGACCTGGTCTTCCTAAATAAATACAAAAGGTTAATTAATGTCTTTTGAGATATATTGTAATATTACATAATTTACAATTTAATGAAAATATAAAAGTTTCAATATACAAATAATATTTTTGTATGTGTATGCTATAATATAAATTAAAATAAATACTTTTATTATGAAAATAAAAAGTTTTATATAACTTTTTATGTATCTATAAAAAAATCGTGTGCTGGAAAAGAATCGTCAAAAATAAGAATTTAACAAGGCAAAACTATTGTTCTATATACGTATGTTTGTTTTCAGATTATGTGCAAATAAAATATTTTTGCATTTAATTGAATCTGATATTACAATATAATATTTTAAAAAATTGTATTAAACTCTCATTGAATTCTGAGTGAATATAAATTAGAAAATTAAATCTTCAACTTAAAAAAAGAATAAAACATATTTATTCAAGCGATTGAGAAATTAAATATTTTTCGCAACCGTTGTAATTCAAAAATACACTTCTTTAATTACAATTAGTAATAAGATTGCGATACATAAAAAAAATAAAAAGTATCTGCTCTGTTAAATAAATATATACATATTGGAAGAGCGACTTTTGGCGACTTTTAGTGCAGAATTTTTATTTTTGACACGCGCGTCTCTCTCTTCACATCGAACTTTTGCAATGTATATTCATCAACTGCTCTACATTCAAACATACCGTCCGTTCCATTTCTTCCAGGCAGTCCAGGCGATCCATTCAAACCCGGCTTACCATTGCTTCCGGGTACACCGTCCAGACCACTTCTACCGGGAATGCCATCCAAACCTGGCTCACCCGGTATCCCGTCCCTCCCATCCGAATCCTGGTGGCCCGATGTCACCTTTGGGTCCCCTAACACCAGGATGGCCGGGTTGTCCTGGAGGTCCATCCGTCCCCGGGATACCAGGCAAACCTGGTTCGCCAGGCGGACCCGGATTTCCGGGCGTACCCGGAAGACCCGGTGGACAATATTTGGCAGACGAACGACAAAAATTCTCGATTGCGTCCAACTGAAACGTAGGTAAATATCTATAGTATGTTTTATTATTCAAAAATTAAAAATTTTCTCTAACATATTAATATTTCTGAAATAGCACAGTTATTTTTATTATATTGAAATATTTCTCGATCCTTCGCAGTCATTTCCAAGTTTTTGCGAGAGCTATTCTCTCTCATATAAATATTTGAAATGTTTAAACTATGAATAAATTATTTCTATAATTATTTTCATTTAAGATATAGAATAAAGTATCTTTAGATATAAACCATGGCTTTTCTATCTAGCTTTTCTATCGGATCTGATTCTTATGTGCTAAAATAACAAAAAGTGATCACGTAAATGTTCACATTTTGTACGAGTACGTTATCATTGTTTCAGTAAGTAAAGTGTTATTTTAACGATGTTATTTTAGCCTCATTATTTCAATTTCACGGGGGAAAATAGAATGTAATACTTAGCAGCTATCTCGAAGCATCTTCTACATACGCAATGTTCTGTATAGACGGCGGAACTCGGCGAGGAACATCACGACAAAACTAGGCAAGTTTGAGGAGAGTATTCACGGGGATGTATCGCGAAACAGGTAACTAGTTCTAACAATCACGGAGAACTGACTTGTATTCGCGTGTCGGCGCTCAGCCAGACCCAGTCCTGACCTCCGGCCGCCGTTGGCGAGGACGCGGAGCCGGATACCATCGGGGAGGCGGTTACCTTCTTTGTACCCTGAATTTCCTTGTCGTCTCGAATCTGCAATCGAGCGGTCCAAATAATCCCGTGATATTAAGGGGAGATCTGAGATATCGTCGAGAAATTAGATCGGGCAAGCCAAAGAGAGCCTGGCTCTCGGAAGATCTCGAGAAATTAAATCCGGAGAATTGAGGAAAAAAAATTCCTTCTCATCCGCCAAATCTCGGAGTATTTTTTTCCCAAACATCCTTGTTTATATCCCATGCAATAATTGCATTATCTGTTAGATTTAATTAATTAAATAAGCGTAAAGTTTTTAGTTTGTGTGTTGTACGCCGTTTAGTTTATATTGCAAAGTCAGAGTTTTTAATTCATTTCTTTTTACATTTTAAAAAAATGAAAATTTTTGGCTTGGCTCGATATAGAATATCGAGTATCAATCTTCTTTCTTACGCTTTAGAATGTTTTAGCTGTCAAGTGTATTTGCATACCCGACTGGCTATGTCAGAAACGGCGTTGTCTTCGGCGGTCGGCAACGCGCTGCTCCGTCTTCGTCGCGGAATCGCCACGGTCTCCGGTGAATGCTGGCTTTTCACCAGACGAAGATCACTCTCCACGTTCGTGACGTACTTATACAGATAAGCGGACGTGAAAAACTGAATGATAAATTGCAGCAAAATGAGAACGAGCAGCACGCGCGGTTGGAGCATCCATCGTTGCACCAGTAATGCACTCTTGCTGTTCATGTTGACGTGGTTCCACTCCTGAAAAGCCGCGTCTGAAAAAGCCGTTTCTTCGCTTCGCGGCAAATCACCGTCAATTAATTAAAGGGAACAAACAAATAAAGGGTCAATGTATAAATAAATTAAAACGGAGCGACGAAGGGACGAGAGTCGTGTCTTCGGAATCACGTTATTAAATTACTCAGGCATCACCTTTGTTTTCGAATTATCTTTAGTAAAATAATGTCGACGGCAATCGCGGCATGTTACGCATGTGAAGCGATAAACACGCCGACGTCTATATTAGCGCGAAGATGCGGCGCGCGGCAGAACGCAACTATTTCAATTGGATATCTCTGGCGTACCGCAGGCGAGAGCTCGGGGGAGAGAAGCACGTAGATCTGTGCCGTCTGATTGGTTACTATCAAGCGGAATTGACTCTGTATTAAACTTCTGCGGTATTCCGCGTGTTTCGCGTTTCCGTCTCCTATGTCTCCTTCCGTCGCTCTCCCGGTCGGCACGTCTTTAGCTTTCATTTACATCTCAATTTTCTCGAACGACGATCATACTTCCAGCGGCACTCGTCGATGAAAAAGAAAAAAAAAAAATTACAGTTCGTTCTGTCTTTTTCCTTTTTTTTTCTTTTTTAATTCACACGTATAACGCGACGCACGATCTTCTTCCTCGGCGGCGCGCGAAGAAAAGTCGCGCGGGCGCGTTGCACGAAAACGCAGTTTACACGGCGGTTTGCGGTGTCCGCCTCTGTCCTAATGTAAACTAATATATAAACTGCGAGTGCCGGTGCCGTCGTCGGCTCGGCCCCGGCGAGACGCATGCGTGAGCATTTCTCTGTGTATCACACCGTAGCCAATTGTCATACATTGCACGTGTGAGACGTGCGTGGTGTCATGGTGTGCGGGCCGACGGCCGGAGCCCCGCACGTTTGTGAATGCACGGTTCCGTCGTTTTGTTCGCCGCCACAGTTACACCCGAGCGCGTGTCAATGGGACGCGTTCCAGTCTTAATTAAAAAAGGGAAGAGAAAAAAATCGATTTCACGCTACAGTCGTTGTAACAAGTCTCTTTCGTGTAACGCCTCGTTACAACTCGCCCGCCGGCGAATTACCGCTACGGCTAGTAGTTAAATCGGAAACTTCACGCCTGGTGGAGATGTATAGATTTCCAATGAATCGTATAATTATTATTCCATATGCATCTATAATTGTAACTCGGAAATTGGGACGGAAATGAAAAAGAGAAACGAGTCGGTATCCTGTGAAAAAAATATTTAATACGCAAATATATATATATATATATTTTTTTTTCTTTCAAGAGAATTGCATTCTTAGCTACATAATATCACAGTAGTGGACCTCCCCAAGATGGAGGTACAAATAATCTGAGTTTTAATATACATATTTTACATTTTTGCACATTTTTTATTAAATCATTTGCTTATTAATCGTATGAATCCATTCAATCACAAGTGGAACATTGTTTATTCTTTTCATACAAAGTGATTTCTATATTAGAATCACTGTTCGTTTTTATATCTATGTTCTGTTTCGAGGCCTAAAAACAACAAATTTTGTTAAAACTTGATAGTCACGGTTTGTTTTCTTTTTAATAATTTTTCTCTCACCAAGTCTAATGACGCTAAAAAGTATCTAGCCACCTCGCAAGGACGTTCCTTTTGTATGACAGTGTTAAAGTTGATCTTTTGTTGATCACTCGCTTTCAGAGTTTCCATAATTCGCGACGTGTAATCACGAATACAAAACGTCGACCTTTGCTCAGCATCATGCAATTTAGGTTGTATCATTTCATGCCATTTGTCGACGTTTCCCTAAAATTATGATTTATTTTGCTAGATTCTACAAATAATATATTCTCTCACACTGATTTATCAATCCCCGATTAAGTTACCGATAAGATATGTGGCGAATTCGATCGAAACCAGACATCACAGAAACTTTCATGCGGCGGCGACATATCTACAGAACTGGGACTGTGAAGTTCAGATATCTTGTCATCAAACGAAGTCATTACATTATCGTTGATATTTGTTGTTATGTCATTATTAACATCTGATTCAGTATCAACGCGTAATCGAAATCCTAGAAAATCTAATTCTGCGTTCGTCACGTCCTCATATCGCAAAGGATCGTGCTCTCGTATACTCTTCATACAGGTACTTGAGTTTTGTTTAAACATATTTGGTCTATCTGGAAGACGAGATACTTAGTATGAATTTATATCACACGATTTTAAAACCATATCAAATTTACTTCTTTACATACCTTCTAACATGAGCAGATTTTTCTTTGTTATGCTTCGTTGTCTCTTACTCGATACGATCAACTTTCGCTTTAACTGCAAATAGTTCAAGAACGCTACTAATAAAACGCATCATTGACTATCTATTTTACTAAGTAAAATTACAATATTACATACCAATTTTGACCCAGATTTCGAGGTAGAATGTAGTCGCTTACTTCTTTTATTGTCACTTGCAAGAGTATTTTGTATTGAGTTAATAAACTTTGTTTTTGTTAAATCTCCATTTATATCGTTTAATAACATAGGATCATCCGTCGACGAACTTCTAAAACATCACATAATAAATTTATTTATTAAATTAAAAACAACATTGTGAATAATTAAGATATACCTTCTTCCTTTCGAATTCACTGACTCGGGTGGACTGTCTAATACACTGCCAACATCTATATTTTCCTTGATATTATTATTCAAGCATTGATCTTCTGGATCATTGTTATTCGATGAAATATTATTGTTGATATTAGTCATTATCGATGAATTTTTGTCAGTGGGTGTATTCGGGCACATCTCGCTCGAAGTGTCAATGAGAGTCACATCGCAATTATTGCTTGAAATATTTGTTGGTGTTTTGACAAGTGTATTGTCAGTATCAATATCTCTAGATAAAGAGAGATTTTGTTGGCTTGACTCCAAAGATGTAATCAACTCGGTAGAAATGTCTTCTTCCAGTGAACTGTTGTCTCTCTCGGACCTCATGTCTTCATTCGTCATGTTCATATCGTCATCATGCATGACAGAATCTGCTGTTGTATCACAGGAAAGCCTGTTCGAATGATTCGACGAAAATGTTTCTTCGTCAGCATAACAAAAATCTAAAATCATTATAATTCTATGAAATATCCAACTAAATAAAAAATTTATTTGTAAAGCATACCTTGAGGCGCAAACTCATCAACCAATATACCATTCATACTTATATTTTGATTGCACCTACAAAATATTATGCATTATTAACTGTCTAAGTATCCAAAATTCAAAATATATCAAATAAATGTGATACTCACCGAAAATCATATTTTTGCCAATAATTTCCCCATTCACATCATAAATATCAATAGAGACATGTTGCGCAATACCTTTCTCTAGTTGAGTGAAACGGCGGCTTTTGGATTTGACAATGTCATGATTCTTTTTGATATCAATATTCTTATCCACTTCTTCAGCAAAATTGACAGTTTTGAATTTAAAACACATGTCAGTCTTTCTTTCTTTCTTTTTAGTAGAATTCTTTGCCATTTCTTCCTGTCTAAGAGAAATAATATATTATTAAATTATGTATTATTTTTAATTAGTAACACACAAAAAATATTTTCTTCTATTAGAAACATTACTTACTCATGAGTCGTCAATACATTTCTACAATATTCCGTTTTATTCCAAAGAGAATCAATTCTGTGCACATACACAGCTGTGGAGTTTTGTAGAACAAGTCCAGCCTCGCCGAAACTTTGGTTGCATGTTGTATTGAATAAAGAGCAATACTTCTCGAGAGTCTATAATAATATAAAATGTAAACACTCCCAAGTAAACACTACATACTTGACTACCAATGGAAAAATTATATCACATACCTGCGAGAAGGGAAAAGTCCATTGTGCCAACTCCTTTACTGGCTTCGTAAGTTGCAAACCGATATCTTGTACGGTAACCATCTTTGCTGTCTCATAAGTGTTACAATTATCCGCATAGGAGTCATAAATCCGTCAATCACTATCAACGAAGCGCCACTCTCGCACCTCCAATGTTATCTGAAAAATGATAGACTGATCAAAGTCCATAAGCAAAATAATACATATAAAATGATATGAACGATTTATAGAGGAAAAAGAGAAAGCGGGCGATGTTCTCTGGAATCAATGCTTTGTCCCATTAGCGAGACATCGAGGCGCAACTACTAATCAAGAAAGAAAGACAGAATGCAACAATGATACTTTGTATCTTGCGCGTTATATAATTCTTTAAGGATACTCATACGCGTTTATTATTCTGGAAAAACGAAGTCACCTAACCTAACAATAACAATAGCAAGCTTTCGCACCACGGGCGTAGATTATGAGAACAGGTAGTAAAGCGACTGTGTTGGACCGTGTTAACGATCCGAACAACGCGACGCGACGCGACGCGACGCGACGTGAATGATGAACGCCAATCACGATCGACCGCGTCATAACTCCTTCGCCTTCCTTCCATCTCGCACAGTAACGACCTCGACCTATCGAAACATTGGTGGGTTCGACTCTTAAAATTTGAATTCTTAGGTGCTCACTTCAGTCCGCTACTTATCTCTTATCAAAATGCACACGAACGCACGCATTTCCTTGGATTCTGACGTCAAGAAGCGATATTTCATTAGATTTATTTCTTTCTCGGTGAGAGGAAGAAAATAGCAAAATAAATGAAGATTTCAAAATTGATGTAGTAGCTACTTTGCATCAGGTGAATAAAATTTAGAAATCAAAACAGATATCTGAAAACAACACGCCAGTATCGAATTAACTTAATCTATATTTAATGTCCGTTTACTACTGGAATGTAAATTAACTTCAATCTCGATTGTCTTATTTTTACATTTTTTTTTAATTCTAAGTAGAAAAAAATTAAAGTCGAGATTAATTTACATTGGCCGTCAATTAGCCATTATAATATTAATGTAATTATTCATAAGGTATTCAATAAATTAATTATCCATATTAATGTAAATAGAATTATTTTTGTTGTGTAATATATGTGTAATATATGTAAAAATGAAAATTAGAAATTAATTAGATTACATTTACTTTAGGCAATTTTGCCAAATGCATTAATCGTCGATTAGATTAATCATAACTTGGTTGAAATGATCTTGAGTCGAGATTGGCAGGTTTCACCTCCGTCGCAAGGCTAAAAATCGCATCAACGAGCAAATCGGTCGCGGCAGTCGGTCGTTACTGAATGAAACTGAAATTACATGCAATATATCGGCTGAATGAAATACAGCTATTTCGGAGAAGCGCGGGATTCATTGCGGAACGTTAACCGGATTCAGGTGTCAGGCGGAGAAACCGCGAAACCACGTTCTTGAAACGTGAACCCCGCGGCCCCGGGGTGGCGGACTGCTGACAACGACGGGGGTAGTGGGTCACGAGATTGGCCAGAGGGAGGTGGGAGAGGAGGTAGCGCACGCGAATCACGGGG